CTTCAATGTTAAAACTTGAGATTTTAGTCTAGTCATTACTAACATATAACCACTATTCATCAGCATATTTATCAAAAAAATAAATTCTCTTAAAGAAACAATCGTATAAATTATTAATACATAATAAAATAACTATTTTAATATTATTTTTAATTTTTTTTTTGAAATATCAATATTATTTTTAAAATTTCATCATGTTAATGCTCGGGAATTCATCTGGTGTTTATACATATGACTAAATAAAGTCAGAGTGTAAACTAACTTTTATATGGCTCACCTCACACCAATCCAAACAATCAATTGCCTTCACACTCCGCGTCTCCTCTTTGAATTTTGTGTTGGCACCTGTTTCTCTAAAAGCTCTCCACATGACCATAGGTTCCCAACTAAGACCAGACGTATTGTCAAGAACATTTCTGACAATCACAGGTTCACTCCTCATCCAGTGCCATTGAAAATGCTCAATTTCATTCTCTGTCAGATCAACGGCATTAGGGCAATATAAAAAGTTATCTTGACTGCTCTCCCTGAAAGCTGCCTGTCTATCTGGAGAATTCAGCCTGCATGAAGAACATCCTTGAGAAAAATCAATTTCTGGTGGCTTATAGATACTTGTCATATCTTCTGCATTTTTTATCAGTTTTGCTACCCAGTTTGCCTTAAACATGCGTCTCAACTCCAAGACTGTAGTACCACAACCTCCATTCTCTTGAGGAGGACACAGAATGCTACCATCCAAGTTAGCTCTCCAATCATGAAAATCACAAGAACTATCAACTCCAGAATTGTCTACTGGCATGCCCACCTGGCTCTCCCTCACATGGTTTGTCCTTTTTGCATTAGTATTTTCTTTCCTATTTGTAATAGGAGCACAGGCTCTTTTTGCAGAGTGCTGGCAGGATGTTTCAGTTTCATTGCCTCCAGGTTGGCAACCTTCTCTTAATTCTTGACAACATGTGAGACATAGATCATAAGCACAATTACTATTGGGACAGCTTCTGTAAAAATTAACAATGGATGTACGGCAGTTGTCACTGGGATAAAAAGAAAAACACATATGGTTCATTACTGAGAGAAAGAAGATTGGAAGCAGAGGTAGATTATTGGTTAAAAACTTGAAATTATTTAAGAGATGCAATAGCAAAGCTGTTTCAGTTACTTCCGCAAAATACCAGATTAAACAGCCATACTTTTGTAATTACTGTTGAATATTGAGCCATGCCTTCACAACCAGACCAATTTATAACAATCATGAACAGCAAATAGAACCTAATACAAAGAGGACATATTTTTGCATTTTTCTTCTCTCTCTTAGGGAGTTAAAACAACTTTTTGAAACTTCATTTCTTTTCCCAAGCAAAAAAGCACTGTTCTAACCAGCAGTTTCTTGAATAGGCAGATCCTTTTGGGTACATGGTAATATATAGTGACTTTATGATACAAGAGTAGAAACTGACTCCCCAATTATGGAGGAGAGCAGAGATAGCCATAGAGTCAAAACCCATTGGTTTGACAAGGCAGATCTTTGAACTGCATTGTTCAGAATATTTAATTTGGAAGAACAATTTTGATTACTTCTGGAGGGTTCCCCATAAGGATGGGGGAGGGATAAGGTGGGCTAAGGAAAAGGGAGAAGATTTGGAGTTGCTGACCAATAATCCAATCAAACAGAAAAAGTTCCTCTGATATAAAGAGTAAATCAATGCAAAACTAAGAGACGAATAACTGGAAAACATGTTGCCACCTAATGTAAGTGGGATGGATGAAAATCCTCGAAGTAAACTCATAACATGCTGACAAGAGCTTCTCATGATTATATATCTTTAGTACTTTCAGCGGTCATGGTTAAAGACGAACCAGTTTCCAACTAGCATATCAGAAAATGTCATTTCCAAGAATCTCATTGATGCTGACCAATTCAAGTCTAGGCACAATGAAATCTTAGTTAGTTAAGGGAACTTATTATAAGTACTTATAGGAGATCTGGGAGTTAATTAGGTTTTTTCATTTCTGGAAGTTTCAGATTTTTCCTTATTATTTTTATTTTTGTTTTTAGTTTTAAGTACATACAGCAATAAGGAATAGCTGTTAGCTTTGTACAAATTGTGGATAAATCCACTATGTATCATCATTGACTGTAATACGGCTATAAATCCATAGTGAATTGGTACAAATC